ATTTTTGGAAGTATAACGGTCGCTTTATTTGGTTTTTTCTACGTACCTCGCAGGCTTCTTTGGTTAAAAAGTTATTCTGATTGCCTTTGCGGCCAAAATAATTGAAGGCGAGACATTTCCGATTGATGGCGTCATAGTAGAAACGAGTCAGCGCCTCTTCTCCTTCTCCTTTTGTTAAGGGCTCAGCGCACGGATTCGTACCTATACAACAAACGGATCTTAGAACCACGATTGAATAAGTTCTAATCACGCGAGGGAAGAAACTTCTGCAAAGAACACATCTGTGACAATTCAGCACCAGCAGATAAGCAGCCGTACGATTTCCACTTCCACCCAACCTGAATACTTACTCCTATGCGTGGCGGTCCTACAAACTTGCTCACAGATGTTTTTTCCCAGAGCTGTAGCATCCGTTTTGCAAGGTTGTCAATCCGATTACATAAGCTCCTCAATCGCTGCCACCATCCAGTTCCTCTTAGGTAGGGAGATGCGTGTTGTGACATCGTGGCGAAAACGGGAGCCACAAGCGAGCCATAGGCCCACTAAGACCTACAGTTGTTCTGACTGCAGACCGTAGAGCGTGTCAGGCAGAAAAGAGGGCTTGGTTCTACGCAGGGACCGCCAGCTTCCCTTCTCCGCCAATTAATGAAGTGGGAAAGCGACAGCGACTGGTGGGAAACGGGTTAACCTCCTGCCTAATCTAGCCCCCTAACCGACACTGCGGCGGAAACAACCATAATAAATCTCACGCGGAAATGCCGCAGCAAACGAATCAGCTTTCTGGACGTCACAGCAACTCAGATATTAAGGGGTTGGCACGCAACATCGTTCCAGCATTCATAGCTAGTGCAGTTGATCCGACATAACGGTTTACAATGGGATTAGGCCGTCAAATGAGGATGTAGAACGTAGGTTGATATGACGCAAATAGTTCTGCATTAAAAGCAGTTGGCACGATAAATCCCTAAAGACGAGTAGGAATATGCCTGGCAGGACGGAATTCCGCGCCCCTAAGAAGGCGCTGCGCAGCGCCCTTCCCAAGGAAGGTACCCTTATAAGGGCCTATCAAGCTACAACATAACGCCCATTACGCCCGCCCACAAATGGACGACCGTTCTTGACGCTCGTATAGCTTCATTTGCTAGCTAATATGAAACGAGAGGATTTTGGATTTTTTGTGTTGTGTTGATATGAAGCAGCTGCTACTGCATGCATGTATGTGCATATACTCGCAGCCGTATCTGTCGTAGCGGCGATGCCTACGGGAAACTCTTCCGAACCTGCTTATTGGGTCATTGAGAAGAAGGCTTTTTCGCAGGATTTTGACCGTTTCACTCCGTTCTTTCGCCATTTTCCCCACTATATAGCGCCCTGCTAGCATTTTAGGCCGAAACCAAATTATCGTGCCTAACTGCCTTCAAGGTGTTGTGTCGATTCAACTAGCTAGAAGTACTGACCTGTTTGTGCGCAAAGTCGCACCGTGGGTGTCGTGAAGTACTGTACACCTCCAGTGCTTTGCCTAAACGCTGCTTGCGGTCGTTTCCTGGTACGATGGCTCTTTTCCAGCAGTTCGCCCAAACAAACCCTGGCCAAACCCCCTTCACTAGTCAAAGGGAATCTAATGATAAGAGGCCAGGGTTCTCTACACCACCGTTCAAACGAAGTATTGACATGAAGCATAGTCCTAGTGATCACAAGGTTTCTTTGCAGAGTTTCTAATCCCTTTCTGTAAAAAAAAACATCTTTCTAGTACACTGCACTGCAAAAAGTCAACTTACGTATGACAACTACCAACAGCAATTGATGACACTATTCACCCCTTCCTGCTTCACTTTCCGATACTTGTGATAGATTTTCATTGAATTTTGTTTTAGGAGGTAGATTTAACTGGGAAGTTGTCCCGGTAGTGTTGGCTAGAAAGTTGTCCATAGGGACGTCAGACTGCTTTTCACGAATATGCCTTCCGCTAGTCCAAAAAATCCTGGCTCCCGGGCTACACGCACTGTTGAAGATAAGGATCGAGGCCGGTGCAAGCAATATAAGCGCTGAACACTTTCGCTCCAAAACGGTGTCATATCCAGAGAGCCAAACTACCCCTAGAGGTAGGCTTTCTTTTTTCGGTTCTAAGCATTTTGGCTCAAGTGTCAGTTTTGCCATGAGTGATATTATGTTAGTGTACGAACGTTGAACTGTTCTATGGGCAAAGTTCTAGCCAGTCGAAAAACTTTGAAAAGTTTGGCGGGATTGGCCCCGGAACAGGGCTATCGACTCAATAATCGATAATGCGCATTTCACCTTTTACTGATGCGATTAGTCGCGCGAGTGCAATAACCGCGTCTTCACTACAATCGTTGCGAACGCTGTTTGAATCCAAAGTAAGTTTTAATTGTGCATGATAAAGTCAACAATTCGTAGTGGTCCAACGGATTAGCGATGGGCGGCGCTTAGTTAGCATCGTGAATCTTTTGGAATGGCCTCAAAGTGCAAATTCTCGAACGAGCACGGTCTGACGCACACTATCCTTAAGACAGCTGGCGATGCCATGGGCACACCAATCACCACACCATACTTACCTCATCTGAAAGAAACCAACACCAGCGGGCTTGAAATGAGTAATGTGCATAGGGAAAAAACTTCTGAAAGGCAGTTTTATTAAAGATTTCCTTCCACCAATGACATGGATCATGCAAGAGGACGTGTTATTTGAAGAAGAGGAAGCATGCAGGAAAAACTGAGATGAGAAAAACTGTGAAACTGTGTACCGTAACCAGAGAACCGGGATAAACGTGGATATGTCTTCGATCGATAAAACTTTTATGAATGATAAAAGTAATTCTCCTAATAATGTTTATACATGAAAACCTTTGCAGAGCAAGTTCCACTGCTCCATTCTATTGTACTTGAAAGACTAACCAGAATGCGCCTTGACAACCAAACAGAAGGTTGTTGCTGTCCGCTCCGACATGCAGTAATGCCAGGCCGGAACATACGGTAGGGTTTTGGCAGACAGAGCACTGGACGACCACTCCCTGTGAACGGTATGGTGATCCGATTTTGCAGGCGTTCACTAGAATTGGATCAATTTTCTGTATTTCACTATTTTCATGAGGGCAACTCAACTGGCATGTCATTTACATATTAATTTGGAGCTTCATTTGTTCAAATATTTGGTCACAAGGTTATCAGGCAAAAAAAGGAAAGCAGAAATTTCCCATATCACGATTTCGGGCCCACGATGGGAGAACGAAACTTTCGATTCAGATTACGATCCGGGGAGATGGCAGCAATATTCATTATTTCGGCAGGTCTGGAGTCGCTTGCTGTGACACATTGCTTATTTAGCTTTAACGTTCGAAACTGGCAAGCGATATTCTGATTGTCACATCTAAGACGCTCCTCAGCTCATGATTCATTATCACTGGCGGCCGGGCGTCAGGTCATATTTTGACCCTTTCTTCCACTGTCGTCCTGCACTTATTAGGAGAGAGTGGAGCACAAAATAAAGGGCAGAAGAAGGTTGGTTAAAGGTGTACACTATAGCCATTTCATATTCCCTCGCGTAATTATAGGACTGAACCCGCCCATAATGGGGCGTGGACAACGCCTTAAAACTACTTTGTCTAACAGGCTGCAATGCATTTTCATCTCATTCCGCGGCGATCCAGTATTTGTAGAAAACTCTGTTTGAAACTCACATGATTAAGTGGACATCTCGAAGGCTAAATGTGAACTAACCGAGACATGAGTTTTCGCATTCCTGCTTGGTCAGGAAGTTGTTCTCATTGCCCTGTAGACCACGATAGACGCATTGTTGACATTGCTGAGTGAGTGGATTGAAGTACCATCTAAATGTCAGCGAATAATGTTCGATGATACTTAGAATTGCTATCAGTTGGTTAGAAGTGGCCTCGTGCATACGTGGGGTGTAATTGCTACATAGTTTGGCCTCGCCTCTGGTTATTTCGGTTTGAAGGCGAAGCCCGTGATATTCCGGGCAGTGGTGCACAGCTAGCGATGTCAAGATGTCAACAGGTGGAGAGAAAAACAAGAAAAAGTGGTCGAATATAGCCCTGTACTCTAATAAAACCCCTAGCGAGCGCCCCTGTATGAGCGGAGAGAGAGCAAAGCGGGTGATCGGACGAGATAACCGAGCGAGTGCTGTTGCGGTCGATGTGGTTGCGCCATTGATCACAGCTGATTTCCTGTTGCCAATAATGTCTCTGCCGATGTTCTTTAGCAGGTCTTCTATCATTATGGATAGCAGAGCGGCGGGCGGGGTCAATGAAAATGGGCCGGGCCAATGAGGGAAGACGGCCTCCTTGCTCCCTTTTGCGCCGCAAAAATGGTGCGATCGCTGGCTATGCGAGCCTGTCTTCCTGCTCACTAAGTTAGAGGAAGATGTCAGCTGATCGGGCACTGCCTTTAAGACATCATTGCTCATTTAACATTCGTAGGCCTTCTTTGGACATGGTAGTCCTGTTCTCAAGGAGGTTGTACTACTTTCGCAGCTCGAAAATGCGTGAAGGGAGCAGGACCCACTCGTGACGTAGCCATAGTCCCACCCACTGACCATGGCAACGGTAAGCTTTCATCTTTAAAGGTATCCTCTGGTGCGTTTTTCCTCTACTAGCTCTCTCCATCTCGAATGGAGAGGATGAGGCGACGAGGAGAATGAGCTGGCACCCAAATGAGAACTCGTTCGACCCCGCCCTTCCTTCGTGTTATGCATGA